AAATAAATAAATAAATAAATAAATATTTTTGAACAAACTATCATGTAATGCCTATCACTATAATAAAAACAAGACCTAATACTCCACTTAGTGGCCTAGTTTCAGAGTTTTAAGAGTAAATAGAACTTTGTAGATCATCAACTTTAGCCATATAGTCACTAATACTTAGAGATAAATTAAGTGATGAAAAAATTTCTAAATTACTACATAAATCGCAAAGGGCAATCTATACTAGCCAAATAAATCACTAGTGTTAGTGGGTATACTAGTAGAATTTATATTCTAGTATATTACATAAACTTCTCTGAGAAATCTTCATATTTTAAGTCAAATATTAAAACATTTTTTTTTTTTGAGACGGAGCCTCAAGCTATCCCCCTGGGTAGAGTGCCATAGCATCACGCTCACAGCAACCTCCAACTCCTGGTCTCAAGCGAGTCTCCTGTCTCAGCCTCCCAAGTAGCTGGGACTACAGGCGCCCGCCACAACGCCTGGCCATTTGTTTTTTTTTGGTTGCAGCCATCATTGTTAGTTTGGCAGGCCCGGGCTGGGGATTCGAACCCGCCACCTTAGGTGTATGTGGCTGGCGCCTTAGCCACTTGAGCCACAGGCGCCGAGCCTATTAAAACATTTTTAATATAAAATGTCTAATGCTTCATTCATGAAACCACATAAATCTTGATTTGAAAATAACAAAAAACAGATTAAACACATGCATTTAAATGTCAAGGAAAGGTAACTTACATAGAAGTTTCAAACAGTCCTCCTTCTTTTTTAAACGGTCTTTAATATCTCCTGATATAAGTACAGAATATGGACATGCCATTTCTTTTAAAAAACCACTTATCTCAAGTTGGAAGCTCTCTAGATCATCTCCCCCTTTAAAAAAGAAAAATCATAAAACATTTACTAAGTATTTACCATATAAACTAATGCTATAAAATCTACTACTAGTTTATATTTAATTCTAAATTTTTACTTTCGAATTAAATACTTAGATGTATTACTGCAAAGCTTAAAGGTAACCAAAAACTTTGTACATACCTAAAGTCAACACAAATTTTAAAACACAGATACCAATTTAAGAACATAAGTATCTAGTCATGAGGCTTTAAATATTTTTATATTTAAATTCCTAACAAATCTCTTCCAACGGACTCTCCATAAAGTTAGATAAACTAGTAATATGTTAGCAACTGAAATATTTAAAGCATTATTATGGCTCCAATTATTAATTGGCTTCATGCAAATGATCCACTTCTAAATATTCAGATAATAAATGCAATCATTTAATTACATCTCACTGCTATTCTCTATTCATAATATAATTATGTAGGAATTTGTGTCATATGCTTGGAATTCAGATTATTTTACTTTGTTTCAAGTGAATTCTATTAAATTTGGCATGAAAAAAACCAATTTAAACATAAGGATAGGCGGCTCCAGGGCTCACACTTGTCCCAGCTACTCTGGACTCAGGCAGGAAGATAACTTGAACCTGAGAGTTTGAGTCAAGCCACACAGTGAGATACCATCTCTTTAAAACGGGAAAAAAAAAAAAAGCTACTTAGTCCCCTAACGAATGCCCAATAATTTTTAAGTTTACATTTTATTGAATTACCTGAAAATCTACAAAGAGCCACAAGGACTCCAGTTACCAAGATGGTGATGAATTACAAGTAAATAAGCTTGATGAGCTATTATCTAAGCATGGAGGAGTTATTTTGTTGTTTTATAAAATTCCTATGTGATCTATGTCCTTAGTTACAGGCTTGGGAATACAATTTTAATTTGGGATCACTTGTATTAAAGAAAAAAAAGAACACCTTAATTCAACATGAACAGCATTCAAAAATTAAACTATCAGCAAATTCAGACTCTACCTTTTCTCAAGAACAATACTGAGGTTAGGACTGTAGATAAATAATAATTGCTTTAACTTTACGGCAAATTTAAACATCAATTTTGGATTAATATAACATCAAAAATTGTTAATGTTGCATACTGAAGTTCTTTGTAATGCTAGTGATTTTTCTTTGTACAGTAGACACACTTGTTGACAATACTACAAATCAAAAATCATCTATACATTTTACCATTAAACAGAAAAATAAGTAAAACACAGTGGCAATACCAGCTGAAGTGATACTTTCTTCCAAGTTGCATAATGATTTTATTTGAGAGCCTAACCAAACACAGAGCTCTGAAAATTCTGGTGAAGACAGTCCACCCTCTGCTGCCTTGGTAAGGGCCTGCTCTTCTAACAGTGGTCCCTTATACCTAGGAAAAAGAAAGAAAGGTCAAAAAAAAAAAACAAACAAGAAAGCTCAATACCCTGTATCAAGGCCTGCTACCTGTTTTTGTAAATAAAATTTTATTGGAACATAGCCAATAAAGTATTAATTTACAGACTGTATATGGCCTTTTTCACACTGCAGTGGTAGAGGTGACATCAGAATAGCCAACAAAGCCTGAGATGTTTAATATATGGCTTTTTACAGAAATAGTTTACTGATTTGCTCTATATAACTAACATTTGGCTTTTTTTCCTATACTTCAATATTTTACAGTAAAATTATCTACCTCTTTTAAGATTAATATTATAATACAGGCTCAGCACCTGTAGCTGAAGTGGCTAAGGCGCCAGCCACATATACCAGAGCTGGCGGGTTCGAATCCAGTCCAGGCCTACCAAACAATGATAACTACAACCAAAAAAAAACAAAAACAGCCAGGTGTTGTGGCGGGCACCTGTAGCTTCAGGCTGTCTCAAAAAAAAAAAATTATAATACAAAGCTAAATGTAGTATAAAATTTAATAATCTTATGTTAGTTACAAGAATAAAAATTATAGCAAGAAAAGTACAGATGCAAATTTCAAATAAAAAAACTAAAGCAGAAAAGAACTTTTGGGAGCACTTCACCCTAAACCATTTATTTTTATACTTTTAAAAATTCTACAAATTTAGGCAGCACCTGTGGCTCAAAGGAGAAAGGCGCTGGCCACACACACCGGAGGTGGCGGGTTCAAACCCAGCCATGGCCAAAAACTGCAAAAACAAAAATTCTACAAATTTAAGGCTTGGGATCTACAGCTCAGCTTGGCACTTGTATCAGGCTCCAGTCCCATATACCAGAGCTGGTGGGTTCGAATCCAGCCTGGGTCTGCCAAACAAGAATGACAACTACAACCAAAAAGAGCCAGGCATTGTAGCAAGGGCCCGTAGTCCAAGCTACTTGGGAGGCTGAGGCAAAAGAATCTCTTAAGCCCAGGAGTTGGAGGTTGCTGTGAGCTGTGATGACACAGCACTCTACCCAGGGCGACAGGTAGAGGCTCTGTCTCCAAAAAAAAAAAAAAATTCTACAAATTTTATTTGATCAAAAATTTAAATTTTCAAAATACAGTAGAACCTCCATAGTTGACCATTTCTCTACATTGATCACCTTAAGTTGACCTAATTTTCATAGACTGGAGATACACCACACGTGTCAGTACAGTAGGCCTAAATCCTTATATTAATCACCTCCATATGTTGACCAGTTTGTTACAGTCCCTAGGGTGGTCAACTTACAGAGGTACTAATATTACTTTACATATAATCTTAAGTGAATTAGATACTTTTACTTTTACGGTTCTTTCTGAAATCAAGCGTTAAAAATAACACTGTAGATTCATAGATATCTAATTCACTACATTTATTTTCCTTTTGACACCCACATTGTTCTAACTCTGGCTAGTAGGATCCCATTCATGTAGGCTGACAAGCCTTTGACTTGCCTCCAGTATTCTGCAAATACTTTCCTTGTTTTCTATGACACATTCCTGCCCTAGACATGTAATCACACATTCCTCCACAGAGCCAATTTCTTTTTAATGGTGTTCAGAGCACATGATCTGGTACTAAAGGTTGGTCACTGTTTCTATGCCTTTTTAAAAGAAACCACATCAGGGCTTGGTGCCCACAGCTCAGTGAATAGGGCGTTGGCCACATACACCGAGGCTGGTGGGTTCAAGCCCAGCCCAGGCCCGCTAAAAAACAATGACAACTGAAACCAAAAAATAGCTGGGGTTGTAGCAGGTGCCTGTAGTCCCAGCTACTTGGGAGGCTGAGGCAAGAGAATTGCATAAGCCCAGGAGTTTGAGGTTGCTGTGAGTGTGACTCTACAGCACTCTACTGAGGGCAACACAGTGAAACTCTGTTGAGGAAAAAAGAAAGAAAGAAAAAGAAACCACATCAGAAGCTCATATTGCTATTCCAATTTGGATTTAGAGTTGTTAGGGTTTATTTGTTTATTTATTTATTTTACTTATTTTGTTTTATATTTTTATCTATTTTCTCTTACAATGAAAATTCTTAGTTTCTTTTTTCCAAAATAGCATGCCTTACTCACATGGAAGAAGCAAAATAATGGGTAGAGATTTGCATTTTGAACATTTATCCAAGAAGGAACACAAGAGTTCAACAGAAAAGTGAAAGAAAATTTCAGCTACTGGGAAAGAGGTGAGTAGGCAGCAAAAAGAGATGGGCAGGCAGCCTTATGTAGCAGGGTCTCAAACATGGGAGGGAGAACATCTCTCTGCAACCCCCTTCCCACTGAGGCAAAGCAGTGCACGGGAGAGCACCCTAACCTTCCTAAGTACTAGAAGTAACCCAGGGAGCAATCAGGTGACTATGAGAAGAAATGACTCTGTGAAGCGGCCTGTGTACTTTCCTAGACCTGGGTACCAAGAGAAGGATTGCATTTTCCATCCTAGCTCATACCAAGCTGTGCAGGATCCTGCAAGCTGGCAGTGGTAGCAGCCACTGGCTTTAGAGAGACTCAGCTAGGGATTGAAGATCTAGGTTATCAAGCAGGGGAGGGGCTTCCATAGCCAGAACTGAAAAACAAGTTTAGGGTGGGTTGTTGCCACAGATCCTACAACAGGTTTCCCCACTTGACAGGACCAGAGCAGGAAGAAATTTGCCTGGAAGGCAAGGTGCTGACCTGAGCAATAAGTCTTACAGCCTGGGGCAGCATTTCAGACTGGAAAGAAGCTGGTGGTTAAACCCTGCCAGGTCAGGGAGACAAGCAGGTCCCACTCCCGCTCACTTGGCTATGGCATGGGCTCACCCCTTACTCCCATGCTGAGACCTGGGCACAGCAGCAGTCACTCCACTCTTCACCTGGGCCTTTCTCCAGGAGCCTAAGGAGATCGCCAAACCTCTCATGGTTGGTACCTGCACCTACCATTGAAAAGCCAAAGCAAAGGCTTGCCCATTCCAGTTTTACTCAGTTTCACCTCCCCCCACTCCAAGACAGAGTTCAGGACCTAGACAATCAAGAGTTCCCTAGCCAAACCCAAGCATTTCTCTGTTAACTGGGAGGCTGGGCATGGTGGCTCACGCCTGTTCCTTACACTCTGGGAGGTTAAGGTGGGTGGATCGCCTGAGCTCACAGGTTCAAGACCAGCCTGGGCCAGAGCAAGACCTCATCTCTAAAAATAGCCGGGCATTGTGGCAGGCACCTTTAATCCCAGCTACTTAGAGGCTGAGGCAAGAGAATCACTTAAGACTAAGAGCTGGAGGTTGCTGTGAGCTATGATGCCACAGTACTCTACCAAAGGCCCCAAGTGAAACTCTGTCTAAAAAGAAAAAGAGAAACTGGACATAAACCCTCCTGCTACCACTGCAGCTGGCTCCTATCTTCAAGAGCCACCTACTACCTGGAAGTCAACACACATAGCCCATTACAAATACACAGCCCTTGGGAACAACAGAGCTTCTCATGACATCTGCTGCCACCATCACCCACACTACCCCAGCTACTCAGAAGGGCATGATCATGCTCCCCTGCGTGGCACACCACCACTACAAATGGCATTTCGGAAAGCTACCACACTGAAGCTATCTTTAATCAAGGAAATCATGCAGTCTTAGCCACTAAACACACCCAGAGGCCGAATGTCCCTTAAGAAAAATAATTCCTGCCCCCAAAGAAAGTAAATTTAAAAATAAAAACAACTGTTCCTCCAGATCCAAAGAAATCAGCATAATAATACAGCATGTATTATGAAAAAACAAGGTATAGTGACACCCCCAAAAGAACATAGTAATTCTCTAGAATTAGATTCTAACAACAAAAAAATATATATTCAAAGTCCCAGATAAAGAATTCAAATTATTGATTTTAAATAGCTGAGATAAAAGAGAACTCTGAAAACCAATACAAAGAAATCAGAAAATCAATTCAGGATATGAATGAGAAACTTACCAAAGGGATAGATATCTTAAAAAGAAAAACCAAATAGAAAGTTTAGAGATAAAATATCCATTGAAGGAATTATAAAATACTTCAACAAAAGACTACACCAAGCAGAGAAAAGAATTTCAGAAGTAATACCAATCCTACTTAAACTATTCCAAAAAATCAAGGAGCAAGCAATACTCCCAAACTCATTCTAAGAGGCCTGTATCACCCTGATACCAAAATCAGATAAAAACATAAGAGAAAAAGAAAACTATAAGCCAGTTATCTCTGATGAACACAGAAGCAAAAATCCTCAGCAAAATACTTGCAACCCAAATTTAATGACACATTAAAAAGATTCTTTATCATGATTAAGTAGGATTCATCTCAGGGATGCAAGGATGGTTCAACATATGCAAATCAATCAATGTGATATAACATATCAACAGAATGAAGGACAAAAACCACATGATCATTTCACTTGATGCTGAAAAAGCATTCAAAAAATTCAACATCACTTCATGATAACAACTCTCCAAACACTGGGTATAGAAGAAACATACCTCAACATAATAAAAGCCATATATGATAGACTCATGGCTAGTCTTATATTGAATGGGAAAAATTTGAAAGATTTTCCTCTAAAATCTGAACAAGACAAGGAGGCCTCCTTCACCACCATTATTCAAAAGAGTACTGGAAGTTCTAGCTAAAGCAATCAGACAAGAGAAAGAACAGGCATCCAAATTGGAAAGGAAGAAGTTAAATTGTTCTTGTTTGCAGACAATATAATCTTTTATCAAGTGAAACCCAAAGACTCCACAAAAACCTACTAGAACTAATAGAGTCAAAGATGCAAGATACAAAATTAACATACAAAAATTAGTAGTATTTCTATATACCAACAGCAAGCAATCTGAAAAAAAAAAAAGTAATCCCATTTACAATAGCCATAAATAAAATAAAATACCTAGGAATAAACATTACCAAAGAAATAAAAGATTTCCACAATGAAAACTATAAACATTATTAAAGAAATTGAAGAGGACACAA